TTCCACCAAAAGTATATGATATGGCATAAAGGCCTGGCCTTCCTTAAAAATTCACATTTGCCCTGCGACCCAAAAGGCGTTCGTGGCATTGCAGCTCCCATCCTGTACTACCGCTGTTCCACTCCCGCTGAGTGTTTCGATAAGACCGACGCGAGTTTGAAACTGCACCTCACCCTGGATAGAACAACTTTGGGAAAGCAAGGCTATGTGAAATTTGATGAAAACATCAGCTCAACTCATATCATTGTGGGAAAATTCTTCTCAAACAGTCCTTCATCACCTTAAACGAAATTGGGTGAATAGATCTCATATTACTGATTTACTGGTAGTTACGAAAACAATACTTAATTCGAAAAATAATGGATGAGAATATGTTTTTGAAGGCAGGTCGAAATGAAATTACTTTGATCATGGGAAAATGCAATACTCCCCCTCATGCGACCTGTGGTGACGAATAATTCGGAGGCTAGATATTTCATAAAAACACTAACAAGCGTAGTTAGCTTGTCAATCATGTTCGTAGTTCACAATCCGACATTCCAGTTGTGGTCCTGAGCCAATGATGAGTAAGAAAGTAGGCCTGGGTACTCACATAAAGTGTTAAAACAATGACTAAGTTCCACCAATGCAAGAAAAGCAGAGTATTTATTTTGGTGCCTGGCACAAGTTATTAAGTATACATTCACACCCACCCCACACCCACACGCAAACATGCACACGCACAACTGGTGTGTATTAAGGTGGATTTTTTGCTGTGTCGTCTTGAGCTTTTTGCAATGACCTGACTGCGATGGCACAGGGTTAGCTGTATCTCTTTTGTGTTTTCGCGCCCCAAGAGCCCATTGTTCTGGCCAAGCATCGTCATTACCCAGGGTCCTAGTGCACACCATTTGTCATCGCCTCATCTTACGCTAAAGCCTGACTTCAAGCCCCAGCAACCAGCGCCAACGACATCAAGCGTGCCCCTTTCACCGGCTCCAACTGGCGAGGAGATCAAGTGATTCGCCCACCAAGCGGATGAATTGATACAAACACGACTGTTGCCAGGCGGCCGGACTCAACGTACACTCCACATGTTTTTCGGCTAGCCCTAGAGTCGGCTTCGCAGGAGGACCAAAGTAACACGGGCCATCTCGGCTCAGCTGGCCAGTCCGAGTGGGAAAAATGCTGACGCCAGAGAAGCCGAGTAGCCTGAGCCCGTCAGTGGATGGACCACCTCCGTCAAAGATGCCAGCCGTAGTCAATGGTTCGGTGGACATCTGCCCGATGGAGGCTGACGCTGGCGCGAGCCGACTCATGCCAACGTCATGTGCAAAATTGGAGGCGCAGGGCGAGTCAGATGAGACAGCAGAAAAAAG